ACACACCTACCCCTGATACCTCAGTTACTGTATTAATTAATTTCATCTGGGTCTTCCCTTCCTGTGCTGTCACTCCACTCTTTTGAACATGATGTCCTTCACCAAATACCTGTCTCTACTGGCCACATGCCCAAAGTTTGTGAGACAGAGCTTCAAAATCTTAGCCTCCAAGAAGAAACTAAGTTTCACTCTCTCCATGATAGACCTGTTTGTTCTCTTGATGGTCCATGGTTTGTTCAAGGCTCTTTTCCGGCACCCAAACACAAAGACATTTATTCTTCTCTGTCATCCTTCGTCATTGTCCAGCTCTCTGAGGCATAACAAATAATTGCAAAGACCATGGCCTAAATCACGCACGTCTTAGTTTCTAGACTGACATCTTTGCTTCTCAATACTCTGGAGAGGTCCCTGACTGCAGATTTTCCCAGTGCAATTTGTCTTTTGATCTCCTGACTGCTGGTGCCAAGAGTGTTGGAGTGGAGCCAAGCAAGCTGAAATTATGTCTCCATCTATCATGGTGCTGCCAATTAGCCCAGTGGTGAGAATCTGTCTTCTTCAGTCCAGATTGCGGACTACAGTCCTTGACCTTCTGCAGCAAGCACTTCAAGTCCTCCTTAGTTTCTGCAAGCACAGTTGTGTGATCTGTATATCGTAGGTTGTTGATGAGTCTTCCTCCAATCCTTATGTCACATTCATCCTCATAAAGCCCAGCCTCCCAAATGATGATTGGAACATAGAATGTGAGAAGCATGAATGTAGAAAAATTGGACATAGTTTGGAAAGAAATGGAACACATAAATATTGACATAATGAGGTATTGGTAAAATGAGATGGATTGGCGTGGGACATTTTGAATTAATTATGTATAATCCACTAAGGCAGAGATGAAAAAGTAAGAAAAACAGGGTTGCTTTCATTATTAAAAATATCATTTCTTGAAACAGATGAAGGAGAAAACTGTTTAAAAGGGATTTTTGATTAGGCATTATTGTCATGACAGGAGTCTAGATCGAAGGTTGCATAGTGGACTGCACTTGGGGGGAGGGATTGTATAACAAAGAATTTTTCTTTTACTTTCCAAAGAGAAGAATGAACTGGGAGGGGAAGGTTGGGCAGGTAGAAAAGTGCAACAATGAATGGAAATCCAAAATCTCTGTAAATTTTCACTAAAATTAATAATAATAATAATAAAAATATCATTTCTAGATCAATCTTGAAATATAATGTGTATATGGTATACATATACAATTTTTTAGTGACTTTCATTACTATTCAAATATATGTGCCAACAATCAGAGCCAAAGAGAAGGAAATGAATGATTTCTACCAACTTCTACAGTCAGAAATTGATCAAACATGCAACCAAATGATTTATTAATAATGGGTGACTGGAATGCAAAAGTTGGGAAAGAGAAAGAAGGATCAGTAGTTGGAAAACATGGACCTGGAGACAGAAATGAGGCTAGGGATAGAATGATAGAATTTTGTACATTCAATTTCTTAATCGCAAATACCTTTTAAAAGAAACATAAATGGTAACTATATACATGGACCTCACCTGATGGTCTGCACAGAAATCAGATGAATTGCAACTATGGAGGGGAAAGATCATTGGAGAAACTCAATATTAGCAGTGGAAACTAGGCCATGTGCTGATTGTGAAAGAGACCATTAACTACTCATATACATATTCAAACTAAAGTTAAAGAAACTTAAATCTATCAGAACCAAAATTTGACCTTGACTCTATTTCACCTGAATTTAAAAACCATATTAAGAACTGATTTGAGGCCTTGACACTAATGAATGTATGCATTTAACACCCAGGAAATTAGAATAGAGAATAGAAATGGCCTTGGAAAAGTAGAGAGTCAGTGAAAGAGAGGAAGACCTTCAAAGAGATAGATTGACATAATGACTGCAACAGTAGACTTAGCACAGTGGAGATTGTGAAGGTGTTACAAGATCAAGCAGAGTTCCATTAGTTGTACATAGATAGGGTCTCTATGAGTCATAGGTGCCTAATAACAGCAGTGAAGATTTGAGGAGCCTTCAGGTCACAATGGTCAATGCTCAGTTCCTAGCTGAAAGGTGAACAGTCCCCAAGAGATACTCTGTGTAGGATGGGAGACCTGGCAATCAGCCTAGAAATTCTTATGGGGCAGTTAGTTCTAGTCTGTAATATAGAATCATTATAAATTGGACTCAGTAGCATGCAATAAAAACAGTGAAGTTACGTCCTTAAGAAATGCAGGTGCACACATTGAATGCAAGGAGCATTTGTGACATCTCAAACAAAGGTGGGTCTGAAACATCAAGGAATGAAAATGAAAGCAGTGGCCTGCTACTTTTACAAGTACTAATATTTTCAGTTTTCTCAGAGGCATGTGAAGGTTGGACAATGAACAAGGAAAGCCACAGAAGAATCAGTATCTTTGAATTGTAATATTGGTGGGGAGCATTGAATAATTCATAGACTGCCAAAAAGAACAAATAAATCTGTCTCAAAAGAAGTACAACCAAAATGCTCCTCAGAAGCAAAGTTGGTGAGACTTTGAGCATGTTATCAGGAAGAGCTAGTCCTAGGAAAAGGACATGTTTGGTAAAGTAGACAATGAGCGGAAAAGCGAAAGGCTTTCAGAGAAATGTTTGACATGGTGGGTGCGATAGGCTGAACACATCAGTGACTGTATGACCAAGCACCAGGCAAGGATTCACTCTGTTGCACTGGGACTCAGAACTGAACTGATGGTGTCTAACAGCAACAACAACAACAATACTTTTATAAGAACCCAAGTACTTTCTCTGTTGATAAGACAAATGCCATCTTTATAATTCAATTTTTAAAAAGGTGAGAAAATGGTAAGGGTGTCTATTAAAAACAAATGATAGAAGCGTGTCAAATAAGCTTGAGATATTTCACTGGTTCTTTAAAAGTGTCCCATTTCAGACTTGCTGATTTCAGAGGCAAAAACATAATTTGAAGAAAAAGTCATGTTTTTGCTGCCATCTACAGATGTCAAAGTGCAATTTTTTTCTTAATATGCACACATGCACACATGAAACACATTCTGACAAAATGAGTGATGATGCAAAGGTTAGTTTAAATTCTAGCAACTGAGATCATTTCAGTGTACTATTAAAGTATTTATACTATAATAGTAGTGTAGACTGTGATATAGTAAACTACTATTATGTTGGTTTTCTTAGATGCCGTTGAGTCGAGTACGACTCATAGCAACCTAATGAAAACAGATCTGAAACCTGTCCTATCCTGTGCCATCCTCACAATCTCTGACATCTCAAGCCCATTGCTGCAGTCATTATGTCAATCCACTCAGTTGAGGACCTTCCTTTCCTTCACCATCCCTCCATCTTTCCAAGAATGATGTCCCTTTCCAAAGAATAACTTTTCCTAGCATTGTGCCCACACTATATGAGATGAAGCTTTATCATCTTCATCATCAAGGAACACTCTGGCTGCACCATCTCCAAGACATATCTGTTTGTTCTTTTGTCAGTCAATGGGATATTCAGTATTCTTCTCCAACACCAACAGTTCAAAGGCACCAATTTTCTGTCATCTTTATTCATTCTCCAGCTCTCAGATGCATAGCAAATGATTGAAAAGACCAGGGCCTGGATCAAACACACTTTAGTCCTTAAACTGACATCATTACTCCTCAATAATTTGGAGACGTCCCTGACTACAGACTTTCCCAGTGCAGTGTGTATCCTGATCTCCTGACTGCTGGTACCAAATGTATTGATTGTATTACATTCTATACTATAAAAGCAGTAAATAATATTGTAGTATAAAGACTATAGTCTTCAATAGGGATTGCATTTCAACATGAAGAAGACAAAAATGCTCACCACTGAACCAATAAGCAGCATTATGATATATAGAGAAAACATGGAAATTGCTAATGATTTCCTCGCATTTTGATCTGCGATCAACACTTTTGGCACCAACAGTCAGGAGATTAGGAGATGTAGTGCACTGGGCAAGCCCACTGTCAGGGACCTCTCCAAAATACTAAAGAGCAGTGTTAGTATAAATCTCAGGTGTGCCTCATTTAGGCGATGGTCTTTCAATCACTAGTTATGCCTCTGAGAGCTGGATGATAAATTAAGGATAGGAGAAGGATTCATGCCTTTGAATTGGAGAAGAGTGCTGAATGTCTAACGAATGTCAAAAGAACAAACAGGTATGTCTTGGACAAAGTCCAACCGGAGTCCTGCTTAGAAGCAAGGATGACTACATTTCATCTCACATACTTTGGGCAAGTGGTGAAAAGAGGCTATCCCTTATAAAGAGACATCATGCTTGGGAAAATGGAGGGTTGGTGAAAGAGGGGAAGACCTTCAATGAAGTGAATTGACACAGTGACTGTAGCAATGGGCTCAAGAATGTCAAAGATGATCAGTTATGGCATAAGATGGGACAGGTTTCAGACCTGTTGTTCATAGGATCACTATACGTCCACTTAATGGCACCTAACATCAACAATATTATAGTATTTTAGTTTAAAAAAACAAAATACATTATTTAATTCTTTGCAAAAATAGTTATAACTAGTAAATAATATAGCTATTTTTAACAATTCTGATTTTCTTATAAATTCTCTGCAGAAAAATGCTACCTACAATAATCCACTTAGGAGAAGGCTGTCCCCCGGAGGTGGGTTGGTGAAAGTGATGAAGGACAACAGAAAGTTTGACAGTTAACAAAATCATTGCAGTTAGTAAAGAGGTGTACTGAACATCACCCTTTCTGCCCTGTGACATGCAGTTTTCTGGTTGTTCTAGGGATTAATGTAAATTGCATTTTAAATTAACATCTTCTGTGGTTTGGATGTAAAATGTCAATGCCAAACTATTTAAGAAAATATAAGGGTGATGTCATCTCTGAGATACCATCTAAAGTTATTCTTCTACTTATGCCATTTCCAAGATTATTATGTTTTCACAGCTCTCCTCCTGGTTATCTCTTTAAGGGTTAAATATAGACAAGAATTACTGGAAAAGCGTTTGATGGAGAAAAAAGAAGTGACCCTTCAAGAAGCCCTTGAAGACAGGGAGAGACAGAGGCGGCTGGAAGCCCTCAGGAAACAGGTGTTTTTAATTTCTACAATTTCATGGGTGGTTTAGAAATATTTCCAAATGTATTTAATAACATTATTTCTAGGGCTCAGCTCCTGGCCTTTGCCATATAGACTATAACTCTTCCAAATGGGGACAGTGATCTTCACTCGTTGGAGCAATTAGATTTATGTTTCAGACATTTCCAGGTTCTCTGTATATTAAAAGAATTTTATCAGCACCTTTTAAAAAGCTCTCCCAAGATTTAAGTACTTCCATATCACCTCTAGTTTATTAGTCAAGTGGTATCCATTTACAACAGTGAAACTCTCCACCTACTGAAGGATTTTATTGTCCAGAAACTTAGAGTGCCAGCAACATAATCCTCTTTAGAGCAGAAGCCTCTCCTTGGAACTAGCCCAGTGAACAAACATGTTAGAAACCTTTATTTTTTTTTTTAAATAACCATTTTTATAGAGATAGAAGCGCATCCCATTGCTTTGTCTGCTAAAAGCAGACAAACTTAGAAAGGAGATGGCAAAGTAGCAATTTGTGAACTTGGAAAATGTGAGAAAATAGTCTTACTTGGTGGTATTTCCATTTTAAAGCCTGTAAGTGATTGTGTCAATGCCCTAGCTGTGAAGTCTTCGTGGAGATGATTTCTCAGCTCCTGGAAAATGACTGGTTTCCTTTCTATGACCATGGAGCGCATGGCATGGTTGATGAGAACTGGGTCTCTGGTACCCTTCAGACCTGACACCCCCTGGTACTTCTGCTCATTGGTAGAAGAAGCATGGATCTTTTACTTCACCTTCCAAAGATTCATTTCCTTATCTTGAAAATAGAGACATCATAAGTTTCTCTTCCTTATATGTTTATACAGATTCATGGTTTTTGAGGATTTGTTGAGTGAAAACCTTATTCTAAATGGTTTTAGGCCTTAACTCCTGTAATGTTCACAACAATGCCGTGGTGCTCAATATAACTCAAGTCGCTGATGTTGAGTCACAATCAACTAATAGCTGAGCCTCTATTAGGTTTTCAAAGCTGTAACAGGAGATTGCCCATCTTTCACCCAAGAACCTGCCGGTGGATTCAAGCTATGACGGATGCATGGTCTTTCGGATCGGCCCCCTAACTGCTGTGGATTACACCACCAGAGATCCCTGTGGTGCTAGTACCTTTGGTGTTCCCACCTCAAGAAAGAGGAAATAGAGAAAGCAACAAAATTATATACTTTCCCTAAAGTTACAAAATGTATAAATGTCAGAATGGAGTCAAACCAAGGAAACCTAGTTAAATAACATAGAATCCATGAAGTAGATATCCACAGACTATATTACATTGTTGTATTCTTAATCATCACCAGTGAAATAGATTCTAGAAGTAAATTCAAAGCATATAAATTCAAGTCTTAATCATGCAAGGTACATCATATTTAAATTATTCAGTAATTAGCAAATATTTCAGGTATTGTCCTTCGAGGACAAAACATAATGCCACTGGTACTAAACACATTCTTTTTCTTAATCTGTTTTTTATTTAGGCAGCTCAGGTGGCTTAGTGAGAAAGAGTTGTGCTGTTAGCCCAAAGGCATGTGGTTAAAATCCATCAGCAGTTCCATGGAAGAAAGATGGACAATTTCCTGCCATGAGATTTATTGCCTCTGAAAACTTGCTGGAGGGTCAACTTATGAGTCCTTCCAACTTGATAGTACATAACAACAACAACTTAATTTATTTATATCACCATTCACTTTTACATAATCATTTGTAGACATTGTTTCATTTAAGTGCATTTTGTATTATTCAATCATTCTGTATATTGTGTTTTATATGTTGTTGTTTTTGTTATGTGTCATTGAGTCACTCACAACTCATACTACCCTTGTGCACAATAGCTCTGAACTCTGCCCTATCCTTAGCCAGTCTCAATGTCTCTGACACACTTACCGCTATTACTTCAGTTACTGTGTCAATCCCTATTATTCAGGGTCTTCTTCTGTTTCTCCAAACTTCCAAAAATGATATCCTTTTACAAGGACTTGTCCGTCCTGGCAACATGCATGCCCCAAGTATGTGAAAGAGAGCTTCAGTATTCTTGCCTCCAGGGAGCACCTAGATTTCATCCTCTCCAGAACAGATCTGTTTTTTTTCTGGGTTGACAACCCATGGTATGTTCAATATTTTTCTCCGGCACCACAACTCAAAGGCTTCAATTCTTCTAAAATCTTTAATCATTGTCCAGCTGTCTGGTGCATAGCAAGTAATTGTGAAGAACATGGCCTACATCAGGCACACTTTAGTCTCCAGACTGACATCATTGCTCTTTAGCACTTTAGAGAGGTTCTTGACAGCCGATTTACACAATGCAATTAATCTTTTGATTTCCTGACTGCTGGTGCTAAGGGTGTTGATTGTGGAATCAAGCAAGTTCAAACTGTTAACAATCTCAATCTCTTCCTTCTCCATCTCTTGTGGAGAGGCCAGTTGGCCTAGTACTGAGAATCATTGCTTTCTTGATGTTAGGCTTCAATCCATATTCCACATTATAGTCCTTGACCTTCTGCAGCAAACGCTTCAGGTCCTCTTTAGTTTTAGCCATCAAGGTTGTGTCATCTGCATAGTGCAGGTTGTTGATGAGTCTGCCTCTAATTCTGATGCCACATTTGTCCTCAAAAAGTTCAGCCTCCTGAATGATCTTTTTCACATATAGATTGAAAAGGTTTGATGACAGGATGGATCCCTGACACATTGTTTTTTCCTGATATTGCATCATGACGTGTTTCCGTGCTCTATTTTGACTACTGCGTCCTGGTCCAAGTATAGATTTCTCATGAGCACAATTAGGTGTTCTGGGATTCCTACACTTCTCAGAGTTAGCCACAATTTGTTGTGATCCACATAGTCACAGTGCTCTGCACAGTTAATAAAATACAGATTGACATTCCTCTGGTACGCTCTGCTTTTCACCAAGATCCATCTAATCCATCTCACATTGTCATAACATGGGACATTATATGTCCTAGTGCCATGGCCTCTCCTAAAGCCAACTTGCACATCTGGCAGTTCTCTATCGATGTTCAGTTCCAGTCATTTTATGGATAATCTTCAGTTAGCCTGGTAGTTATCCTCCAGATTTCTTGGCACAACCTGGTGAGCATGTCCAGTTCCTGGGACCTTGTTTTTTGCCAATTCCTTCAGAGCAGTTTAAACTTCCTCCTTCATCACCATTACCTCTTGATCATATGCTGTTTCATGAATTCTTCTTTGTCAGCCAGTTCTTTCTGGTATGCTGACTCTGTGTACTCCTTCCATCTTCTTTTTCTGCTTCCTGGATCATTCAATATTCTGCCCATAGCATCCTTAACTATTGCAACTCAAGGTTTTAATTTGTTCTTTATTTCCTTCAACTTAAGAAATGCTGAGCAAGTTTATCCCTTTTGATTTCCAACGTTTGTTGATTTGTGTTTTTGTTTTGTTTTTTGCACATTTCATTGCAATACTTTATTTTGGGGGGTTGTTTGTTTTTAAATTTTATTTTATACTGGTTTATTTACAAAGTTAAAATGCATTATTTTTCACACCAGATCTTTCCCTTTTTCCTTCACCCCCCCCCCCATCATTGCAATACTTTGCTTTGTTTTCCCATGTTGCCTTTTGAAATTTTCTGTTAAGCTCCTTAACTTCTTGATTTCTTCCCTCTGCTTTGGCTTCTTTGCACTCTAGTGCAATATTCAGAGTCTCTTCTAACATCCTTCTCAGTCTTTTCTTACTACTCTGTTTTTGTAATGGCCTTTTGCATTCTTCATGGATTATATTCTTGATATCCTCCCATAGCTCACCTGGTCTTTGCTCATTAGTGCTCAGGAGATGGTTTTACTGTTATAAAGATGGCTTTTAAAATTAGGTGAGATAGACTCAAGGTCAAATTTTGGTTCTTGTGGATTTGATATAATTTTCTTTAGCTTCAGCTTGAAAATGCCTATAAGTAGTTGATGGTCTGTTCCACAATCAGTACCTGGCCTAGTTTTCAATGCTGATATTGAGCTTCTCCAATGATTCTTTCCACATAAGTAATCAATCTTATTCCTGTGTAGGCTATCAGTTAAAGTCTATGTGCGTCATTGCCACTTGTGTTTCTTTTAAAAGGTATTTGCAATGAATAAATCATTGATTGTGTAGAATTCTATTATTCTATCTCCAGCTTCATTTATGTCACCAAGTCCAGGTTCTCTGACTACTGATCATTCTTCCTGGTTCCCAAATCTCACATTTCAGTCACCAAGTATTATAAAAACATCTTGGTTGTATGTTCAATCAATATCCAACTACAAAAGTTAGTAGAAATCATCTATTTCCTCCTCTTTGGTTCTGGTTGCTGGTGCATGTATTTGAATGATAGTGGTATTAATAGATCTTCCTTGTATCCCTGTTTCTCCTCACCTTTTTAATTTCTGGTATAGTAGGTCATATGATTATCTGTGTTTTTTGTGGTTACTATTAATCTATTACTTCTATCTCCCTGTTTCCTTAAGCATCCACTGCACCTTACCTAATCCTTTTCCCCAATGTCCCACTAATCTCTTTTGTCCTATTGATTTCGTCTTTCTTTTCAATATTGTACTGGAAGTACTTGCTAGGGCAATATAGCAAGAGAAAAAAAATAGAAGGTATCCAGATTGGAAAAGAGATGGTTAAACTATCAATATTTGCAGGTGATTATGATAGTGTACACAGAAAACCCCAAGGTGGTGGAGGTTGTTGTAGGTGTCATTGAGTTGAGTACAACCCATAATGACACTATGAACAAAAGATCTGAACTCTATTCTATCCTGCACCATCCGCAGGACTCAACGAAAAACCTGTTAGTTAGAGCTAGTAGAAGAATTTAGTAGAGTGTTAGGATGTAAGATTAATATAAAAAAAATCAATTCCTCTGTTGGTGCTTCACCCCCTTCTTTGACAGTCTCGCTTCTACTCCGCCTTGCTTCAGCGCTTGACGGAAGGTGGAATCGGAGAGGGCTGAAGGTTTTACGGCTGCAGTGGTCACTGCCGGAAAGTGAGCATATGTAAAAAGTGAATACTTTCCATGATAAAGGAAAATGGCCAACTCTTTAAGAGGAGAAGTACTAAATCTTTGTAAAAATAATACTGAATATTTGGTGGCTTAGTGGTGAGGAACTGCACTGCCAATGCAAAGGTTAATAATGAAGATCAAAATCAAGGCATGAGACCATGAAACAAGTAGAGCTGATTCATAAAATACAACAAAGTTATTTTTTCATTTTGCTCAAGTAACAATTTTTTTAGAAGCTAATAATATAAGATAAAGAGGTGTGTGGCTACCCAAAGGCAAACTCTGAGGGAGAAAACCCACTGGAGGGTCAGCTACAAGTAAGTTCCAACTCCACATCAAAGAACAGTTCCATTAGAGAGCAGCAAAGAGAATAATTTAGAGAAAGAAAGGCTTCAAATATTATTCCTGGAATCTGAATATAAAACATTTTTAATCTCTATAATTTTATAATATATACAATTACTTGGAATAGCTCTTTAAAGTCTTCCAAAAGCATGCAAATATCAAATAAACTTCAACAAAGAGAAAAAAATCAATTCCTCTAACAGTAACAAAGGGAACTCAGAGAAAGAAACCAAGAAAGTAATACAATTTACAATAGCCAACCACAAATTGAGATACTTAGGAGTGAACCCAACTAGAAACTGGAAAGACCTATACAAAGAAAACTACAGAACATTTCTTCAAGACACAATGTAAGACTTCCATAAATGGGAAACTGTTCACAGATAGGAAGACTCAATATTGTGAAAATGAATTCTACCAAAAGCAATCTACATGTTCAACACAATCCCACTACAGATACCAAATTCATTTTCCAAGGAGATTGAAAGGGAAGTTGTCAAGTTTATTTGGAGAGAAAAGAGTCCCTGAATAAGCAAAGCACTTCTGAAAAACAAAAATGAAGTGAGAGGAATAGTACTCCCTGCCTTCAAAACCTACTACACGGTGGTAATAACCAAAACAGCATGGTACTGGTATAATGACAGGCAGTAGACCAATGGAACAGAATTGAGAACCGAGAAATAGAGCCAGCTATCTATGGTCAACTGATATTTGACAAGGAAATAAAACCTATCAAATGGGGAAATGACAACCTTGTCAACCAATGATGCTGGCATAACTGAACTGCTACCCACAGAAAGCTGCATCAGGATCCACATCTCACACTATACATAAAAATGAACTCAAAGTGGATCAGAAACCTGGGAATAAAGCTCGAAACTGTAACATTCATCAGAGACAAACTGGGATCAAGCTTAGAAAATCTAGTGTATGGTATAAAGAGACTGCCAAATACAGCCAGAAATGCACAATCAAGTGAGGACAGAAGTGATCAGTTGGGCCTTCTAAACATTAAAGCCCTGTGTGCATCAAAAACTTTTCCCAACAGAGTAAAAAGAAACCTACTGACGGGGAAAAAACATTTCCAATACTATTTTGGACTCCTGCAGCACCTCCACAAGAAAAAGGCTGATAACATAATTACAAAGGGGAGAAAGACATGGAAAGAAAGACTGCACTGAGGAAGATATTCAAGTGGCTGAGAAACACATGAAGAAATTCTCAAAATCACTGGCAATAAGAGAGATACAAACCAAAACCACAATGAAATACCATCTTACTCCTGGAACAGTGGCAAAGTTTAGTAGGGAAGGAAGTAATAAATGTTGGAAAGGAAGTGGCAAGACAGGAACTGTTATATGTTTTGGGTGGGAAGAACTCTGGAAGACAGTTTAGTGCTTCCTCAAAAAGCTGAACATATAATTTCCATATGTCCCAGCTATTCCACTGCTGGAATATAACCTGAGGAAATGAGAACTGAGGCACAAATGGAGATTTGTACATCAATGTTCATAGTAGTATTATTCACCATTGCAAGAACATGGAAACAGCCCACATGTCCAACCACAATCCAATAGATTTAGAAATTGTGGTAGATTCACATGATGGAATACTATGTAGCATGCAGGAGCAATGGTAAATTACTACCTAACTTGCTTGGGAGGAACTGGAGAGCATTTGCTGAGCGAACTAACTCAGTCCCATAAAGACAAACACTGTATGAGACCCTTATTGTAAAATAATGAGCTGTGGTGTTGGACTAGAGTACTGAATATCCCATAGATGGTCAAAAAGAACAAATATGTCTTGGAGAAGGTGCAGCTGGAGTGGTCTTTAGAGGCATAAATGATGTATCTTTGCCTCACATAGTTTGGTCATATTGCTAAGAGGAGTTATTCCTTGGAGAAGAACATGATGGTAGGGAGGGTGGAGGGTCAGCGAAGGAGAGTAAGACCCCTGACCATGTGGATTGATACAGTGACTACTGCAATCGGGTCTTTTGTGTCAGAAAGTATGAGGATGGCACAGGATAGAACAGGGTTCAGATCTTTTGTTCAGAGGGTGGCTATGAGTCATACTCGACTCAATGACATCTAACAACAACAATGGCTTAATGGAGGTCTGGTTGGTGACCTAGCAGGTAAGGAGTTACACTGCCAACCCAGAGGCAGGTGGTTCAAATCTACCAGCTAATCCACAAGAGAAACTGGACAATCTCCTCCCATTAGATTTATAACCTCTGAAAACCCAATGGAGGGTAAGCTATCAGTTTGTTTCAATTAGTTGGTAATGAGACTTTTATTAGTAGACTCTGACTTTGTATCAGGAAGGTACGTTTTATAAAGAATTAATCATAATTTTAATTACTCAATCAATAGCAAATCATTACACATGAAGACCTTTTAATAGTTTATTTCCCTTTAAAACCACCAAAACTACCTTGTGGATCTATAGGACTGGCCTGGCATTAACACTCATTCTGCCTTTTCTCTAGGTTTTGTTGATAGTAAAATTTCTTCATTTTAGTGATCATTAAACATTAAGCTTGTTCCCAGCAATGTGTAGCATGTATCCTCTTGAAGTAGTAAAGTGTAGGTCCGCTATTTGAAATGTTGGTTGTTAGAATTCACCAGTTAAACTCCTCTGGAAAAAGATGAGGCCATGTTCTTCCTTATGGTTTACAGCCTTGGAAACCCGATAGAATGTTGGAAGGAGTCAGAGTCAGTGCAATGACTGGGTTTATTCCAAGTCACTAGGTTTTCTCTTCTTCCAGGTTGCAATTGTGGCTCAATTTGATCCTGTCAGAATGATGGCAGATACAAAGGCGTCAAAAGCTAGAATGGGAATTGGAACGGAAGAAGAATTTATTCTTCAAAAGCCACTCTTCACATTAAATACATACAATGAACAGCAGGTAATTATGGAAATTTACATGATTTATGCAAGGCCATGATGATAGCAATAAGAATTATAGAAATGTGTATTTTGGATTATAAATGGCTTTCAGTGTCTATGCTATACATATTAATAGAAATTTTACTTTTAAATGCTAATATGTAATTAGTGTGTATTTCTTTTTAAAACATAATTAGTGTATAATTATGAATATAAAATTGATGATATATAATCATAGACTAAAGCAGTTTATCAGAAAATGTTTTGAAATCTGTAATTAAGAATTATTTTTAAAATTTAATAACTTTGAAAAGTTTTATTTGAAATGTCGGTGTTAATATTGTGTTTTGTTATTTAAATATCTCTATTTTATTAAGGAATTTATATTTAAATTCCTAACAAATCCTATTAAGGAAATGACTGATGGTACTGATATAGGACAAAGCAGGGAAAATCTTTCCGAAATGAACAGAACATAATGCATCAGAGTTAATGAGAAAATAAAACATTTCAGAGGAAAAAATATTAAGAGGTTGTTTAACCATTTCTAAGAACTTATGATTTATTCTATGTCAAGAACTAATAAGAGTCTAAAATTTTTTTTATTATTAAAAGGAGAGAGGAGCAAATGGGGGGGGAGGCGGGAGGGGTTTGTGCGGGGAGAAGGGTGCAACAATGAATGAATGGAATTCCAAAATCTCTGTAGATGTTCATTGAAATGAAAAATAAACAACCTAAATTTAAAAAAAAAAAAAAAAAAGGAGAGGGGAGGAATGGTCGATGAGAATGGCTATCACTGTAATTAAGGGGAAATGTAGTTGTTGGTTTTGTAAATCTAAGGAGAGAGGCAAACGTTTAGGTAATTATTTTAAAAGCAGGAAATGTCATTCATCTGTTATGAAAGAAACTTAATGTGTCTTCATTATGCGCTCATCCTTAGTTAATGAATAAAAAATTGAATAATTCATTTCATTGAGTGATTTAACAAATATTTATGGAATGCATACTAGATATCCTATAAATTATGTTGCTGCATAAAAATGCAAAGATTATCTCCCCAAAAAAAGTAAAGGAGTCTTCTACTACAACTGGAGTTTGAAGCTGCAAATTTCTCAGGAACCTGAGCTGAGGAAGTGTGAGGAGTTTTTCCCCTTTCAGCGGCGCATGTCTTCAGTTTAAGGAACATGACAGTGAGTGAGAGCTGGGAGATGAGAGGGGAAACATGAAGTAGAACTAGACTGTGGAAAACATTGCATGTCTTGCTTGCTAAGGCCTTTGATGCTTCTACTGTGAGCTGAGGTGAGGTTTTTAAGCAGATAAATCATATAATTAGATTTCTGTTTTGTCAATGAAGAATTGCTATGGAGCAGATCTTCTTAAAATGGTTGAGCTTTGGTAGAGGTTTGGGCCAAGAATATCCCTGACTAAAAAGAGGAGGGAGAACAAAAAAAACAACTCTCAAACTCATTACAGTCAAGTCAGAACTCACTTATGGCTGACCCTCCACTGGGTTTTTGAAGGTTATAAACTGCTTGGCAGGAAATTGGCCATCTTTCTCCCTCAGAGCACCTGGTGGAGTTGAACCCTCAGACAGACACACCTTTAGTAACCCAAAGAAAAGGAGTACTACTCCCTAAGCACTAAAGCTCCCAGAAAAGGTGAGAGGATTAAAAAAACAAAACAAAACAAAACAAAACCCAAAACCAAAAATACCCAAGAAACAACAAAAACAACAAGCAAACAACAAAAAGGTAATTCTTTTTATATGTATTTCTTTTAATTGTGATTTTTTAAAAAGTTTACAGAAAAGTTAGCTTTTCATTCATTCATTGTTGCACATTTTACCCCCCTCCTTTCTTCCCCTCCCCAGTTCACTTTTTCAAATATTCATTCATTATTGCACAATTACCTCCTTCCCTGTACTTCCCCCAGTCCTCTTTGCAATGTACCTCTCATTCTGGGCTGTTGTCATACATATAATGGCTAATTACATTTTCCTTTTAAACAGCTCTTTCCTTTTTTTAAATTTATTATTAATTCAATGAAAATTTACAGAGACTTTGGATTTCCATTCATTTATTGTTGCACTTTTCTCCCCTCCCAACCATCCCCCCCATCCAGTACACTGTTGTTGTTGTTGTTGTTATGTGCCGTCATCGAGTAGTTTCCGACACATAGCGACCCTATGCACAACAGCCCTAAACCCTGCTCTATCCTGCGCCAACAACACCGCCTCTGACACACCCATCCCAATTACCCCAGTCACCGAATCAATCCATCTCATAGAGGGTCTTCCCCTCCTGCGCTGTCCCTCCACCCTCCCAAGCATGATGTCCCTCTCCAAGGACCTGTCCCTCCTGGCAACATGTCCAAAGTATGTCAGACGAAGCCCCAGAATCCTTGCCTCCAAGGAGTAGCTTGGTTTAATCCTCTCCAAGATGAATCTGTTTGTTTTCCTGGCAGTCCATGGTACATTCAGTACCCTTCTCCAGCACCACAGCTCAAAAGCATCCACTCTCCTTCTGTCCTCCCTAGTCATTGTCCAACTCTCTGATGCATAACAAGCGATTGCAAATACCATGGCCTGTATCAGACGCACCTTAGTCTCCAGAGAGACACTGTTGCTCCTGAGTACCTTAGAGAGGTGCCTAACAGCAGACTTTCCCACCGCGATACGCTTTTTTATTTCCTGGCTGCTAGTGCCAAGAGTGTTGACTGTGGAGCCAAGCAAACTGAAGCTGTGAACACTCTCAATCTCTTCGTCATCCATCCTGATGCTTCCAATTGGTCCAGTGGCAAGAATCTTTGTCTTCTTGACATTGAGCCTCAGTCCATACTGAAGGCTGCAGTCCTTGACCATTCGCAGCAAGTGCATGAAGTCCTCCTCAGTTTCAGCAAGCAGGGTTGTGTCATCTGCATAACGCAGATTGTTAATAGATCTTCCACCAATCCTGATGCCACAATTCTCCTCATAGAGCCCAGCCTCTCGGATAATCTGCTCTGCATACATGTTAAAAAGGTATGGAGACAGGATGCATCCCTGGCGTACACCCTTCCCAATTTTGAACCATGCAGTGTTACCCTGCTCTGTTCTGACGACTGCCTCATGTTCCAAGTATAGGTTTCGTATTAGCACAATTAAATGTTCTGGGATTCCCATTCTTCTCAGAGTCAGGCACAGTTTGTTATGATCCACACAGTCAAATGCCTTTGCATAATCAATGAAACACAGATAGACATTCTTCTGGTATTCTCTGCTTTCAGCCAAGATCCATCTAACATCAGCAACAATATCCCTAGTACCACGACCCCTTGGAAAAGTAAAAGAAAAATTCTTTCATTATTTTACAATCCCTCCCCCCAGGTTCACTTCACTGTGGAGCCTTCGCTCTGGACTCACGCCATGACAAAAATGCCTAATCACATTTCCCTTTTAAACAGTTTTCTCCCTCATCTGTTTCAATGCAGTATACATTATTTAACCCATCTTTCTCAGTCTCCACCCAACCCCTATGCCTGTCCTGGTTTACAACAGAGGCACTATGCAGTATTTGTCCTTTTATGACTGAGATACTTCACTCAGCATAATGTCCTCCAGGATCACCCATTTGAATAATATTTCATGAGTTCCTTATTTTTCAATGCAGTGTAGTATTCCATTGTGTGAGTATACCACAGCTTCTCTGTCCATTCATTTGTTGATGTGCACCCTTAGGTTGTTTCTAACTCCTTGCTATTATGAACAAGTCATGATAAACATGGATGTGCATATATCTGCTTGGATGTCAGTTATGGTCTCTTTGGGGTATATTCCCGGTGGTGGAATTAGTGGGTCAAATGGTATCTCTATTTGCAACGTTTTGAAAAAGTGCCATACCGCCTTCCGCAGTGATTGCACCATTTTACACTGCCGCCAACAGTGAATAAGGATTTCAGTTTCTCCACAACCTCGCCAGCATTTGTTGCTTGCTGTTCTGTTAAATGTTGCTATTCTTACTGGGGTGACATTATATAGCATAACTGTTTTAATTTGCATCTGTCTTAGAGCTAGGGATTTTGAACATTTCTTCATATTGCTTGTAAGCCATCTAAATGTCCTCTTTGATGAAAACAGTTATTTCCTTCACCTGTTCCAATGCAATGTTTGTTACCTATCTACTTATATCCTGTTCTTCTCCTAACCAACTCCCCCATGTGAGACCGGCTTTATAACAGTGATGCTATGCAGTATTTGTTATTTTGTGATTGAGAGATTTTACTCAACATAGTGTCCTCCAGGATCCCTCATGTTGTGTAATGTTTTATTTTATGAGTTAATTATTTTTTCAGTGCTGCATAATATTCCATTGTATGACTATACTGTAGTTTCTCTATCCATTTGCTTTTTGATGAGCCCTTGGGTTTGCTTTTATCTCCTTGCTATTTTAAATAACACAGCAATAAATATGGGTATGCATGTTTCTGTTTTGGTGGCACTTCTGGTTTCTTTAGGGTATGTTCCCAGTAGTGGAATTACTGGATCAAATCTGTTTCCAACTTTTTTAGAAAGCGCCAAACCACCTTCCATAGTAGTTGCACCATTTTACACTCCCACCAGCATTGAGTAAGGGTTCTAATCTCTCCACAACCTCACCAGCTTTTATTGTTTACTGCTTTGTTGAACTTTGCTATTTATTGTGTACACTATTAACATCTTCATATTTTCTTCATCTTTTAGGTATTATTTGCAAGTTTTTTGTGAGGATTAGAGAGAATAAATGTCAATTACCTAGAATATTAGGTACTATTTAGTAGTAACTCAGAAAATTATGATCATTAGATAATATTGCCTTGAATATATAAGAATACAAAAAGAAGAACAGAATTAGGGAGATAATTTGTCTTGTTTATGCCATATTTAGTTGACAATATTTAGTACACACAAGAAACTGATGGAAGAGGGAAAGTGAGGAAAGGAGGATCAGGATAGATTAGAGGGAGATCTACATTCTGCATAATATCTGTTCAAAACGGAAATAAGGAAATATTTGGTGTTGTCTTGATTATTTTTTTTAAATCCCACAACTCTGTAATTGAGGAAAGAGGCCAGTCTCAGAGATAATTTGGGAATCAGCAGTTCACAGGTGAGAGTGGACCAAAAAAAAATATTGATAGTGAAGAGGAGAAACCCAAGTCCAAGTCTGAAACTTGTTGTTTCTCAGACACAAATCTTGACATCATACTTGCCATTATTCTTAATCCATTGCCAAGTTCTATTTATTCATCCTTACACAGTATTTCTGACAGTTATTTCAGCCCTGCTATTCACCAAATTTAGGCCTTTATTACATCATGTCTAGACAATTGGAGTAAACACCTTACCACTCTCCCTGCCTCCATCTCTTCTCTCCCTGCCACTCTACTTCATTCTTAACTTACAACCAGATCAATCTTGTCATACATTTGCAATGATTACATTACTTTCATTCTACAGAACTAGAATGCAATATAAGTGCAATGCTCAGGAGTTCCCCAGACTCCTTCTTACAACCTTCATGCCTTTGAGCTTCAAATTTTAATCTTAGAAGCATCCTTCTCCAGTGTTCCCCAATGGTACCCAGAGCTCTACTCAAACTTCTGTGATGCTAAATTGGCCTATTTCACTTCTGAGAATGCATGTGCTGACCTTTCTTAATAACTCTCAATTCAGAGCATCTCTGCTTTCTAGAAGAATCGTTAAAACTGTAAGGCTAGCTCTAATACTCATCCTTTTCTGAGATCACCCTCATTCTCCTCACTCCAGAAGATGTACCTCCAAATTTACTGTTCTTGAAGCACCCATCAGAAATGCAGATCTGTAGTTATCCACATATGTTGTTATTATTATTGCCCTTATTAATTTAAAGTTTCCTGAGGGAAGGACTTCTTTCAACAGCTTATTATCATATGCTGAACAGGGGCTCCAAGTTCATATAAAATGCCTCATTAGCTAAAATCCATATGCGGCCACGTTATCATTGCAAACAGGGTTTGTAGACATTTAATATTCATAGAATGAAGGGAAGAGGAATAAGGTCCAATCAGCTATAAATAAAAACAGAAATTGAACTACTCATCTGTCTATTCCCACTTAGAATCAGATTGATGGAGGCATTTTCTGGTTATGCTCAAAATAGAAATCCGGCCTTGGAAGAAAAGTTCTATTGATTTTGTTTTTCAAGTAGGGGCAATGTGTTTAAACTTAATTTACATTTTGCCAACTGATGGGGAAATTAAAACATCTGTTTAAAGACAGATGCACAAGGTGGTGACTTTTTTACTTTAACCACTAATTTTCTATATTTTGCAATTCCAGTTATCAACAAATAATACATCAGTGACAATATTGGAAAGTAAACTTCTATTAACTAATCTTTTATTCATTTCAGTCTGTTATATTTTGACCAAATACATACTTTTTTATGGATTGTATATTGGAAACCACTGAAGTAATATATTGTTATATGTTGATAAGTACTATTGAGTCACAACTGACTCACAGCTGGCCCTCCAGTGGGTTTTCAGAGGCAGTTAATGGCACAGAAGGAGATTGCTGATCTTTTTTCCGTGGAGAAGCTGGCAGATGTAAACCTTGTGTCTTTGGATTGGTAATGCAATTCCTTGCCACTAGGGAGTTCTGGCTTGGTTTAAGAACCTGTGCTGGAATCCCAAAGGCACTCAATTTTAATTCAAATATGGTTTGAACCCACCAGCTCCTCAATGGAGGAATGATAGGCAGTCTCTTCCCATGCCAGTGCCACTGAAAACCCACGGAGGGTCAGCGGTTCCAATTTGATGGCACACCACACCACACCACAGAGCTCCTCACTGAAGAAATTTAAAGTTTTAAGTGGTAGAAAGCTTTGTATATTTTTAAGCAAAATGACAAAAATGTAGTCATCTCTACACACAAATTTATTGTCATCTACTGCTTTGTCAGAAAAAAAATGTTACTGCTTAGAGAAATACAGAACTAAATGATGAGCATATATTAGTTCAATGAATTTTCATTTGTTGACAGTGTATTCTATTTCTACAGATCATTTCTGACCCTAGACTTCGCTTTGAGTTGGCACTTCGAGAAGCTGGACTTCATAAAACATTTTATGCCAAAGAGATATTGCCAAAAATTAGTCCTCAGAAACCTCCAAGAAAGGACATGGAGTCTACTGTGTTTAAAATCTAGAGCTCATCTTCAAACCCATTATTTTTAAACAAGATCTTCCACTGAATATTATAACAATAACTTCTATTTTCTAAAAATGTAGAAAATATTAACGATGGAAATCATAATGTCTTTTAAAACAACTTTGCCTTTGTTTAATAACTATTATCATTTTAGACATTATTTTTGTATCATCAAATTTAATAGTATTAAATCTCCCCCAAGATTATAGAACTTAACTCTTGTGCATATACTATCATTTATTAAATCATATTTTGGAGGTTGTGTTAACCCACGAAAAGAGCTCAAAATAACCACTTGTGAAAATTATAAATTATGTAGCAGCTACCTGCTAACCTTCATTTCTGCTTGTTATTTCAGAATTTGACTTTTTAATTAGGGGAGCTTCATTATCATTAATACTTCTATTATTTCTTGATTATTATAAGAGGAGATTCAAACTTTCTCTAAATTTAGAAACCAATTTGATATACCATGTTTACTGCAAACCAATCATCCAAACAATTCCCTTTTGCAAATTAGCCCTTAAGATTAAATTAGAAATTGCACTTCAAGCATGGGAATATCTGTTTGGGTTTGGGGGAAAAAATAATATAGTTCTTTGGAAGGATTACTTAAAAGTCTACCATATTTAGAATGCTCTCAAAAGTTCCAAATAACCTACTAAACATAAAATAATTTTATAGAAAAGAAACATTCCAGCTAAAAAATCAAGTATGCATTTATTATTTCTAGAAAGTACATATTTAATCAGAATAGAAAATTACCATTATTATTGATAAGAAGACTCTACCCCTTTTTCTGCTATATTGTTGTTCCCTGCCATTCATTGTTCACCTCGAGTTGTGTCCATGAAGTTACTGGAAGTATATACATATCTGTGGGTGTTACATATTTGTCACACACACACACACATATGACAACGGCCTAGCCAATTGGTGGAAATGTTGTCTTAATGCCCCCAACATCATGAGAATAAGCAATACAATAATCCCAGCCCTTCTGAACAAACCTTTTCAAAAGAACACTATGGACAAATTATTCTTATCTGTTAAAGGATGTATTATAATACCTTTCCAGTGAAACTCTTTTCATCATCATCATCATCATCATATTATCACATAGGAAGAAGAAGGAAATGTTAACAAGAGCCAGGAAATAGTGAACAGTGGCATTTATGTTGGTGGTAAAGTCATATTGTCCCCTATTGGAACTATCATTTTCTTGATGTTGACCTCAAAAGCCTTCCTGCATCAGAACATATTCTCTTGAAGTGACAAGAATTTTCTCTAACTTCAGAGGCCCCTCTCAGCATCAACACCCATGTCAATATGAAGGGTTATTATTGTTATGTATTTTTTTATTATTATTAAATTTTATTAGTTTCAATGAACATTCACAGGGATTCTGGGCTTTCACTCCTTCATTGCTGCACCATTCTCTCCACCCTCCTCCCCAGTTTGTTCTTCTTCCCCGCCATTGTTATGTATTATTGAATCAACTACAACTCAGAGACACAACAGCTCTGAACCTTAACCTATCCTGAGTCATGCTCAGTGACTCTGACACACCTGACCCCTTTGCCACAGTCACTGTGTCAATATATCTCATTCAGGATCTTCCTTCTCTTGCACTGACCTTCTAGTCTAGTATTCTAATGATGCCCTCCCACTTTCTACCACATACTTTGAGTATGTTCTTAGAGAAGGACCTATGCCTGGTGGAGGGTTAATGAAGGGAGCAAGACCCTCACTAAAATGGGTTGATATGGTAACTGTGGCAGTGGGCTCAAGTCTGTAGGGATGATAAGACTAGGAGAGTTCTGTTGCTCACAGGGTCACTATGAGTCATGTGTATTCATCTAGATGGCGCCTAACAACAATGTGATTCAAGGAGAACTCTGGTGATTTAGGAGGTGCATTGCCAACCCAAAGGCATGCGGTTCAAATCCACTAGCCGCTTCAAGGGAGAGAGATGGGCAATCTTCTCCTGTTTGATTAACTGCCTCTGAAAGTCCTCTGGTGAAGGTTGGGAGGGGGTTGGGTGTGTGTGTGTGGGGGGGGCGGTGTCAGATGTCAGCCAAGCATGAGTTCTGACTTGACAATTCATAACAACAATCTGATTTAAGGAAGGCCTGGTGGCGTAGTCCATGGGAATGTGCTGCTAGCTCAAAGGCTGTGCCTCTCTGCTGCTTGAGCTCACGAGGTATTCTGTGGGAGAAAAATGAGCAATCTCCTCCCATGTGCTTTACAGCTTTGGAAACTCCGCTGAAGGACCACATAGGAGTTGATTCTGACTCCACAGCAATGACTTTGAATCTGATTCATGTCACTAATTTCACCTAGTGCCTCCCCACTCCCCTCGCCAACCCAGGAAGTCTATTTTATGTGGGGAAGTGAGCATGAGGAAAGAGTAGGTGCATTATTTCCCTTCTAGTTTGCACATTTCCCAGACATGTCAATATTATTTAGCACCACATATGCTGAAAACTCTTAATATTTATAAACAGTCTCAAAAACAATTTGCTTACATTTCTTTAAACATTTTATAAATATTGTATTAATCTGCAATTATTGCCTTCACAGTATATTTAAAACAAAATGCTCAAAGAAATGTTCAGTTGCTTTTAAAATAAGCTCAATGTGAAAATATTATTTAACTTTTTCTTCTTAAGCTAACTAAGATGAAATGAAATTTACCTGGAAACAGAAATCATTCATTTACCAAAGGAAAGTCACCAGTAGACATAAATTTATATACACATGGGAAAGATTGTGATAATACAAAAAGAAAAGTTTCTCATCCATGTTGTTACATCAATATGGACTTGTTGTTTGTTGTTATGTGCTGTCAAGTCGCTTGCGATTCATAGCGACCCTATGTACAACAGCCCTAAACTCTGCTCTGTCCTGTGCCAATTGCATTGTCTCCGATACTCCCATCCTGATTACCCCAGTCACTGAATCAATCCACCTCAAAGAGGGCCTTCCTCTCCTGCGCCATCCCTCCACCCTCCCAAGCATCATGTCCCTCTCCAAGGACCCGTCTCTCTTTACAGTATGTCCAAAGTATGTCAGATGAAGCCTCATAATCCTTGCCTCCAAGGAGCAGCCTGGTTTAGCCCTCTCCAGGATGAATCTGTTTTCTTAGCAGTGCATGGTATACTCAATACTACTAGTTACTTAAAATTTGTTTGAGTGACAAATGGAAGACATCACTCTGTTTCTAGACAATTTACTCCCCTCCTCTTCTTTCTCAATCTAAATATGTCCTTTATTTCATATCCAAATATCTTTTCAACTCAAAAACATTTTCAAAAATATGATACAATATATAACGTCTCTTCAACCATTAAGAAGAATGAGAATTGTGGTGATGACTGTATGGCATTGTGCATGTACTAAAAAGCCACCGAATCACTCATTTTAAGTGGGTGAGTTGTATATGTGACTTCGGTCTCAATAAGGCTTTTAAAGGCAAGAAATATGAGAGTTGCATGGGCTAATAGGAAAGAGCATCAACGTTTGTTCTAACGCGAAGGGTAGTGTGGGAGCAGCAGAGGAGGAAAAGTACATACAGAATGATTCCCTTTTTGTAAAAAGAGAATGTGTCTTTCTAGAGGGTTATATAAAAAAACTTTCAGCAGTGGTTACTACTGGAAAAATTAAATGGGAGGTTGTGGTGCAGTAGAGATTCCTATTTTCTTTCCACTAATAATGGAAAGATAGGCAATCTGAATCCACCCATGGGGACCAGCACAGAAGAAAAACCTGATGGTCTACTTCCATAAAGATTACAGTTAATGAAACCCTATGGAGCACTTCCACTCTAACACATGGGCCGTCATGAATTGAAATTGACTCTATGCTCATGGGTTTTAAACCATTTTCATGTTTACTGTGAGCCTGCATTATTTCTACAGTAATGATTTTTTTTAAAGCCTAATATTTTATTGTACATGTTGTAAGGAGGGAGAGGTCCTTGGAGAGGGACATCATGCTTGGTAGGATGGAGGGACGACGCAGGAGAGGAAGGCCCTCTATGAGGTGGATTGATTCAGTGACTGGGTTAATCGGGATGGGTGTGTCAGAGGCAGTGCGATTGGCACAGGATAGAGCAGGGTTTAGGGCTGTTGTACATAGGGTCGCTATGAGTCACAAGCGACTTGACGGCACAGTACAACAACAACAACATTTTACTGCAACTATGTGCCAGATTTCAGGATGTAACAGCCTTGGATCTCACGTAAAGTGTCCACTGTGAAGCTGAACAGCCAGCAGACTCTCCTATGTAGGTGAGCAGATTACTGTCCTTAGATTTAGATCCAATACCCTACTTCACCTCGCATGAGCCTTGTGTCTACAAGAGCTTTAAACCTAAGTCTCCAGATAATCGGTGGCCACTCAGGTCACCATCTTGGCTTTCATTGTCCTCTTCCACAGCCACACCCCTTATTTCTTTGTCTCTCACATGCTGTGTGTCCCTTCTGAAAACATTTCAAACTGCTTTCGTAGATCTTTTCAGGACTTTGGGTGTACTCTGGCTTCTGTCCTGCTGTTTCCTTCCCTCTCACAAGCCTGTCTCCTGCACAAAGCTTCCCTCCCTTGCAATATTTTCTTTCATTCTTTTCTTACACTCTTCCTTTACTTCATAGCCCTTTCTTCCCTCCACTGGTACAATTTTCAACCCTGCCTCTCTTCCATAGGTGCTGTGACAACCTAAAACAAAAGAAAAAAAGAACAACCTTATTAATTGTATACTGTAAAAGCCTTTATGATAATATTCATTCACCTTCTTGCTCATTCACTCATTGCCTTCAAATCAGAAATGACTCGTACCTGACCTTCCAGCTGTTTTCTGAGGCTGTAAATTGCATGGGAGTAGATTGCCTATCTTTCTCCCTCGGAGCTGCTGGGGGATTCAAACAGCAGGAGAGGCATAGTCTTTGGGTTATCCGAGCCTCTCCCTATGGACTACACTATTAGAGCTCCCTCATTTACACAAAAGGCAATATATATTGCATCGATGGAGGAAAATGTCATTTTTAAATGAGGCTGTTCTTGGAGAAATATTTTCTGGTGCCACTCTTTTCTGTTCTAGTGAATATTTTTGGCTTAATCATTCTTTCTGAT